GCGGGGACGACCGATGAAGCACTGCTGCGTCCGTCGACCGACGACGACGACGACATCGACGACGACGGCGACGACGAGAACTGTCGACAGCGATGACGCCGACAACGACGACTGTGGCACGTCAGCAATCAACCTGAGAGGGAGGGGAGAGGCTTCGCCTCGGATGTATAACCGATTCTAAAAAACCTACTTGTTTGACACTGCCGTGAAAAATGGGGCACACGATCCCCTCGGCGGCGCCCGCGACGATCCCCTGGCGCGCGCGATTAAAACATTGTTTCGCGCCCCGCGGGGTCTGTTCATCAACCCCGGGGGGGGGCTCGGTCAGATGTGAATCAGAATCTGACATTCGGCATACCGCGAAACTTGCTTTGAACAGAAAAATGTTCTGGACAAACAAACGGACTCTCTCAGAACGCAAAGCCGATGTATTGACATAAGACGGACGCAATCAGTTATGTTGTAAGAACGTGGCGTGCAGACCAGAAGAAACTCTTTAAACATTATCCTGGCGAAGGACCCAACCATATGCAGTTGTGAGTATCGCAATTGTGAGTATTTTCTTCGGTGGCGCTCCCTATGGGGCCACGAACCGCATGAGGGGTGTGCCGAAATGTGGCGGGGTACACAACGCAAAGGAATACGATAGATCTGATTACGAGAGAAAGAACGCGGGTGAGTCAGAGCGCGAGGGAATCTGAGTATGAATGGGTCTGCGCGCGAGTGAATATATTTGCATGAATGCGATCATGGAACCGCCTAGTGTAAGTGTCGAGCATGCCTGTCCGAACACACGTGACACTGGGCGTGGCCGCCGCAGGCAGCTTCCGCGGGAACCCCGACGGCAGCGTCCGCACGTCGCGACGCCCATGTCGGCACGCCTCTTGCGAGGATCGCGCCCGCTTTCGGCTCTTCTTTTCCTTCCTCTTTGCCCGCGCACTCCAAAATCCAAGGCTGCGGGCGCAGCGCAGCGCGGAGTCCCCGCGACGCGCGCTGGTCGCCCCGGGCGGGGTCCCAGCGACGCGCGCGGGTCGTCCGCTGCGCGAAGCAGAGAGAGCTGACTAGCTAACTGGCTGGCTGATAGCGGGCAAGTCTCTGACCGCTGGGCAGAGCGACGACGGGCGAACGAGGCGCCGGGCCCCCCGCAGCACGGAGTTCCCGCGACGCGCGCCGGTCGCCCCGAGAGGGTCCCAGCGACGCGCGCGGGTCGTCCGCGGCGCGAGGCCAAACAATAAGTCGGGCAGTCGAGAGAAGGCGCGGCTCGGGGGAGACGCTCCTCAGGTCAGGCCTCGCGGATGAACTCGGTGAAGCCGAGCTCCCTGGCGAGGGCCGTCGCTTCCCTCCTGCACCGCTTCGTGCGCGCCGCAAACTGCTCCAGCTGCTTCCGCAAGCCCTGCGGCGGCCCTGCCAGGAAGAACTCGATGCGCGGCGCCCGCATGAGCAGGAGGTCCTCGTGGCGCGTGGCGCGCGAGAGCAGCACGTAGAGCTCCAGCCACCAGTCGTCGTCCTCCTTCTTGCCGTTCCCTACCTCGTGGCGGCCGCAATCCAGGATCACGCCTGGGCGACGTCGACCGAGGGAGCAGCGCGCCGGGCAGCCGACGGCCCAGGGCGAGAGTCCACAGGACCGAGAGATGGTCTGGCCGCGGACTGCTCGCGCCCCGGAGGTCTGGCCGCCCCCGGAGCGCCGTTCCCCCGCCCCGTCGCCTTCGCGCATGGTGCGCCCCTGGCACGCCACCGTGGTGATGACCCTGCCGTGCGAGAAATGCGGGGGGTGTGCCGAAATGGGTGGGGGTGACGCATGCGGCCGCGGGCACTGGGGCCTTCGGTGGAGCTCCCTATGGAGCCACGAAACGTGTGAGGGGTGTGCCGAAATGGGTGTGGGGGACGCATGCGGCCGCGGGCACTGGGGCCTTCGGTGGAGCTCCCTATGGAGCCACGAAACGTGTGAGGGGTGTGCCGAAATGGGTGTGGGGACGCATGCGGCCGCGGGCACTGGGGCCTTCGGTGGAGCTCCCTATGGAGCCACGAAGCGTGTGAGGGGTGTGCCGAAATGGGTGTGGGGGACGCATGCGGCCTCGGGCACTGGGGCCTTCGGTGGAGCTCCCTATGGAGCCACGAAGCGTGTGAGGGGTGTGCCGAAATGGGTGTGGGGGACGCATGCGGCCGCGGGCACTGGTGCCTTCGGTGGAGCTCCCTATGGAGCCACGAAACGTGTGAGGGGTGTGCCGAAATGGGTGTGGGGGACGCATGCGGCCGCGGGCACTGGGGCCTTCGGTGGAGCTCCCTATGGAGCCACGAAACGTGTGAGGGGTGTGCCGGAATGGGTGTGGGTGACGCATGAGGCCGCGGCCACTGGGGCCTTCGGTGGAGCTCCCTATGGAGCCACGAAACGTGTGAGGGGTGTGCCGAAATGGGTGTGGGTGACGCATGCGGCCGCGGGCACTGGGGCCTTCGGTGGAGCTCCCTATGGAGCCTCGAAACGTGTGAGGGGTGTGCCGAAATGGGTGTGGGTGACGCATGCGGCCGCGGGCACTGGGGCCTTCGGTGGAGCTCCCTATGGAGCCACGAAACGTGTGAGGGGTGTGCCGAAATGGGTGTGGGTGACGCATGCGGCCGCGGGCACTGGGGCCTTCGGTGGAGCTCCCTATGGAGCCACGAAACGTGTGAGGGGTGTGCCGAAATGGGTGTGGGTGACGCATGCGGCCGCGGGCACTGGGGCCTTCGGTGGAGCTCCCTATGGAGCCACGAAACGTGTGAGGGGTGTGCCGAAATGGGTGTGGGTGACGCATGCGGCCGCGGGCACTGGGGCCTTCGGTGGAGCTCCCTATGGAGCCACGAAACGTGTGAGGGGTGTGCCGAATTGGGTGTGGGTGACGCATGCGGCCGCGGGCAGTGGGGCCTTCGGTGGAGCTCCCTATGGAGCCACGAAACGTGTGAGGGGTGTGCCGAAATGGGTGTGGGTGACGCATGCGGCCGCGGGAACTGGGGCCTTCGGTGGAGCTCCCTATGGAGCCACGAAACGTGTGAGGGGTGTGCCGAAATGGGTGTGGGTGACGCATGCGGCCGCGGCCACTGGGGCCTTCGGTGGAGCTCCCTATGGAGCCTCGAAACGTGTGAGGGGTGCGCCGAAATGGGTGTGGGTGACGCATGCGGCCGCGGCCACTGGGGCCTTCGGTGGAGCTCCCTATGGAGCCACGAAACGTGTGAGGGGTGTGCCGAATTGGGTGTTGATGATGATGATGATGATGGGAGGGGGGAGGAGGCAGCGGGAGGAAGGAAGGAAGGAAGGAGAGGAGGAAGGGGGAAGGAAGGAACGCGGGGCACCGTCTCTTCAAAACGAGGACCCAACACCACAGGATGGTTGGGAAAAGAAAAAGAAAAAAAAAAAAAAAAAAAAAAAAAAAAAAAAAAAAAAAAAAAAAAAAAAAAAAAAAAAAAAACGTAAGACTCGAGCGAGCCGGAACTCGGGTTTGCTGACATGTTTTGACGAGCGCGTCCTGGATTCTGACGGTTCAGTTTCCGTGGGATGTCTGCCGCGGGAGTTAGCGTCAAATTTCAGAGTGGGTCTCGTCATGTTTATGGTGGCCCCGTCAGGCCAACCCGAGTCCCCCGTACCCGGATCTTACGCCTCCCCGAACTTGCTGCTAGAAGACCAATACCTGCGGCTGTTGCCGAATACCGTTGCCTTTTTCTAGCCACGAGCGTCCATAGACAGATGGGGTGCGGTTACGTCTACAGACACAGTCGGGGTGGATGCGTCTATGGACGAAGCGGCAGTTGCGTTTGGCGCAGCACAGAGTCGGAGAAAAGGCAGATCCGTCGACGCTACGTTCCTGTTCCAGAGGGGGCCCCACATGGTGCTCCAACGAAAACCCTTCCGCCTCGAGCGTGGCACTTCCCTCGCCGCCGCCACGAGCGGCCTGCGGCGGCCACGGCCGCGACGCGGAGGTCCGGGGAGGGCCAGCAGAGACAACGGCAGCTGGCCTTCAGGGAGCCCCTTCGTCGCCGCGGCTGGACGCAGCTCGGGAAACGCGCATCTAGCGGACGGAGAAGGGTGCAGTCAACCCAACCCGCATAAGAAGGATGGGCAACCTTCTCAAGGGTATTCTTGCATCCTTGCCCCTTCGTCCCATCCTTAGCGACTTTCGCGGGCCGCGCCCCGCTCGCAAAGTGTCGGCATGGCCTTCCAAGGCCCCTGCATCCTTACCGCACATCCTTATGATACGGGTTGAGTGTAACAAGTGAACTGCTCCGCTGTCGGGGACGCTTCTCCAAGGCGGGCTGGAAAGTTTCGACCATTCCGGTGGCACGCCAGGGTATTCATTTTCCAGCCGCCTTCGGGCAGGCGTCCCCGACGGCGGAAGAGTTGACTTCTGTACCGTTCTTCGTGCGCTGAGGTGCGCTTGGACGGCTGGCGAGGTCCGGGGACCAATTTTGATTTTGAGTCGCCGTTTTCTCAAGGCGCCCTGCTCCGAGGCGTCCACTGCGGCACTGGCGGCACGCTTCGCCCTCGCACCGCCGCCCTGTGCTCGTTTCGCTGTGAGCTCCAGCAGGTCTACCTGCGTGGAGGGGGAGGGGGGGCGTGGCGAGGGCGCAGGGAGAGCTGCAGCGCACGCAAGCCGGGGCTCACCTGCACGCTTTCCCAGCCCAGCGCTGCTGGACAGAGCGGCGCAGGGCGCGGGGGGGGGGGGAGAACTTTAGGGCGACGATATCTATACATATCCACTGCTCCCGGCCAGGCCAATCCTGGGCCCAAGAGCTGTGTATACGCTCTCCTGGCTTGGCCAGGGAGGCATACACGCCACTCCTGGGCCCAGGAGGGGCCTGGCCAGGAGCAGTGGATTTTGCATAGATCTCGTCGCCCTAAACTTGCCATGCAGGTGCACTCGCCAGAACGCAGCTGATCCTTCGCGCCCCCGCGCCGATGCCCTCCAGCCGCGCGGCCGCGCGCGCGCGCGGCGGCGGCGGAGATCCGCGCTCGCCCCGCGCCTCGCCCCCCGAGGCGGTGCGCGACGCGGCGCGCGCCTGCCTGCACGTGGCCGCGACCACGGCGGTGCACCAGGAGCCCGCCCGCCCGCGGCCGGGCCTCCGACGGCCCCCCCGAGCGCCTCGCCGAGAGAGCCGCCGGGGCAGCCTTGCTTCAGCCAGCCACGCGCAGAGGGGAGGGGGGGGGGGAGGGCGTCTCAGAAGCACCCCTGCTCCTCAGGAGGAGAGGGGCCTCGTCCATAGGAGCCCGCCCGCCCGCGGCCGCCAGCCCTGCGACGGCCCCCGAGCGCCTCGTCGAGAGAGCCGCCGGGGTAGCCCAGATTTCGTAATACAAGGGAGGGGGTCTGGGCCCTCCAAGACAGGCCACTTCAGAGCTCCCCCGTGGGAGAGCCCTCCAAAGCATCGTCCCCAGACCCCCCAGGCCCTCCAAGATAGCCTGGGAGAGACCCCCCCCCGAAATGAGACCCCCCTCCCTTTATTACGAAATCTGGAGTAACCTTGCTTCGGCCAGCCACGCGCAGATCCAGGCCTCCCAGATGGGGTCCGAGTGGATGGGGTCGGAGAATGGCGCCGCGTCGCCGATGCATCGCCGAGGCGGCTCGATGTGCAGCCCGATTTGCTTCACGTCGACGTCGCCGAAGCATCGCCCACGTCGACGATCCATCACTGGTGCATCGCCGATGCATCGCCGATGTATCGGCGATGTGGCGCGATCAGCCGACCCTATCTAGTCGGACCCCACCTAGGAGGCCTCTAGCAGAGGGGGGGGGAGGGCGTCTCAGAAGCACCCCTGCTCCTCAGGAGGAGAGGGGCCTCGTCCACAGCTGTGAGGCCGGCGCCTTCCCAGGAGCAGCCTCCCTCCAGGAGGCCCTGCCCCCTCCCTTCCGCCCCCTCGTGCGCGCCGCCAGCGAGGCTCCGTCGAGAGCCGCTGGGCACTCTGGTGCCCCGATGCAGAGGAGCAGGGGGCGGCGTTAATTAGGGGGGGATCGGCCCAGGCCTCGGGCTTCGAGGCCCCGGGTTTTCGGGAGTTTTTGCAATGGAGGAGGAGGAGGAGGAGGAGGAGGAGGAGGAGGAGGAGGAGGAGGCTCTCGGGGGGGGGGGGGGAGGCCCAGGCTTCGGGCTTCGAGGCCCCGGGTTTTCGGGAGTTGTTGTCGCTGGTCCTCGGCGGCCCTCCAGCCTCGGGGCGCTCTCCGCCCGCGGCGCCTCGTCGAGGGCGTGCTCTCTGGGGCTGCCCGGCGGTCGTCCCGAGAGCGGCCGCCGGAGAGCCTCGCGAGTGGTGGCCAGAGGAGCGTTTTTGGGGGCGGTCTTGGGGGGGCAGCGCCTCGATCGCCGATGGGGGCTTGCTTTTAGGGGAACAAAATCGGGGGCGGCAAAGAGGGGGGTGATGACTAGGGGGGGGATATCATGGCGGGGGCCATGATGTTTCCCCAGATTTTATGGCGCCTCTTCTTATTTCATTACCTCTCTGGCGCCCCCGCTGGGCCGTGCACATGCCGCCGGTCATGATTTGCACCCCCCCCTCTTGGACACCCCCCTCTTGGCCGCTCCCGATAAAAACTCGGAGGTCCGCGCGGATTTCTCGGATCGGCGCTGGGGCCCCCCGGCGGCGCCTCCGGCGCCGCCCCTTGCGCGCTCCGCGCGCCAGGGAGGGGGGTCCAGCGCCGATCCGAGAAATCCGCGCGGACCCCCGAGTTTTTATGTTTATGCCACTTGTTGTTCCCCTCTTGCTGGCCATCCCCCCGAGGCATGCGATCGAGGTCGGTTCGGGGAGGCTGCCCTGGTGGTCTTCGTGTTTGCTGGGCGTTCTTGTGCATCCTGGGGGAGGGGATATCCTCGAGTGTTCTGTCTGTTTTGGCCGACGGAGGGTCTCGTGTTCTTGAGGGAGGTTCCTCTGGCCTAGGTCCGACCGTAGGGGTCTGCTGACCCAACCCCGCCCCGGAGCGTGCGGATGCACCGTCGGGGGCCTGCCGCCGATCCATCGGTGATGCATCGCCGATTCGAGGCCGATGTTTCAAGGGAGGAAAAAACACCCGGACCGGACAATTGGCGTTTACTAAACGGCCTTGGGCGTTTACTAATCAGCCCTGCCCTGTTCGATTCCTTCTCAGGGCGCGTTTACTAAAGGCCTCGAGTGTCGGGGTGGTTATTATCGGGGTGGATTTTCTGCCCTCCAATGTTCCCCTTGAGCCAGTCCCCCCGATCGTTGCCCCTCAGAGGAGGGCGGGCTCCGCCCTCCAGCGCACTGAGAGAAATCAGGACGTGGCTTTATGCCTCGCTGTCGGCCTCCGGGGGGGGCCCTCGCTGGCCCCAGGGTCGCCCCCAAAAAACGGCTCTCTCGCGAGGAAGAGCGGGCACTGGAGAGGAGGAGGAGGAGGAGGAGGAGGAGGAGGAGGAGGAGGAGAACGGTCGGGACTTCAGGGACCGCACATGGAAAAAATCAAGGCACTGGATGTCCGGGTTCAGAGGTGGGCGAAGGGAGGCAACGATGGTTGGCCTTCGCGGGGGGGCCCCTTCTGCGCCAAGGCCGGACGCAGCTCGGAACACTGATGGGTTTGGGCCCCAGGAGGGGCCCGGGGATCGACTTTGAGTTGCCGCTGTCTCGACTCGCTCCCCCCCCTTCTGACTGATGCCGTCTTCTGCAGTTTTTGTTGTATCGGAAAGTTTTAAGTCGGGCATGTCGGTCTACAGGAGGGATATTCCAAGTTAGCCACAGAGTAGTATGCAGACGATTGTTGGATTGCTTTGACTCTTTTTGAATACTATTTGGATACTTATTATTTGTCGTCGAAAACCGCCTGTGGGAGGACATGCCCGGTCTACAGTGCCGTTTTTGTATACATGCTCCGCGTGCGGTTCATGTACTAAAATGCGGGGATTTGGTATTAAAAACAACGCTGTGTTCATGCATCAAGTTATTCATACATTAATCATTATTAAAATCCTATATATATATATATATATAAAATCCCAGTATTGAAAACTGCCCTGTAAGGATATCTCCTCGAGAGAGCTGCAGGGCTCTACTGAGCATGCCCGCAGGCTGGGCCAGGCCAGGCATCCTCTTCCGCGACCTGCCAGCGTCAGGCAGCGCCGCAGCGCCCTGCCAGACCCTCTGGCTCGTCCTGCCAGCGCCTTCCTCTTGGCGTCACTTGGACGTGTGCATTTTTTCTCGGCGTGGGCCATCGAGGAGCATCCCTGATCATTTGGTGAAAAAACCACGCACGAAACCGAAAAAAACACAGGGAATGGACGTCCGAGCGATGGCGAGCTCTGGCTCATCCTGCCAGCGCCTCCCTACTCTCTGAAGCTGGGCGAGGGCTCACAAATCTGTGGCTGCCAAAACGGTCTTCCCGGAAGGAAGACGAAGAAGAAGAAGAATAAGAAGAAAATAAAATTAACAAACATTCAGCGCATTAAACAGTAAACGGGCTGCTTCCCGGAGAAAAACAATTTCCTGGATCTCCGATTTAGCAGCCACGGGTTTGCCAGCCTTCGCCTGGCTTCTGATACTCTCGAAGATGGAACAACGACATAAACATTAACTTTTGGAGCTCCGCGCGGATTTCTTGGATCCGCGCTGGGCCCCCCCACCGGCGCCTTGGGCGCCGCCCATGGCGCGCTCCGCGCGCCAGGGAGGGGGGCGCGCGTTGCCTGTCGCTGCCCCCGCGGGCTGCCCGAGGCCGCGTCGGGAAGCTGCAGCGGTGCCCCCCGACCAGCGCGCTGCCAGTGGCCTGCCTGCCAGTGCCGGTCTGATGGCTACCGTCCTCTGCCCTGTTGGCGAGCGTTGCCGCCTCCTCTAGCGCCATGCCCGTGAGGATGTGGAGGAGGAGGAGGTCCACGGGTCCAGCGCGCGATGTTTCTCTGATGGTTTGCCTGGCCATTGCCCGAGCACCTGCCTTGTCGGGAGGCTCCAGCGTCGCGCGGGTTTGCAGGTTGCGAGTCGTGCATGCTTGTCGGCGGCTCGGAGCGCCTGCATTCGCGGGGGTCGCTGCATCTGGGTGCGCAGCGTGTGACCCTCGCTTCCGCTCGCGTCTTGGCCGCCCAGACGTGCGATGCTATCAAACGTGCGGTCGTGGCGCCCCCTGAGGTTGAGTCTCGGAGTTGCAGGGTGGCCCCCGACCGTTCCCAGCCTCGTCTGTGAATGTCTTCGGAGCTCGACCGACCGCCACCCGAGAGCTACGGCCGCGCACATGACCCCGCCGATGTCTGCCGCCACCGCTGCCGCCACCGCCTCCCTGCCTTCGTGTGCTGGCCGAGCGGCAAGGGCTGGGCCAGAAGCGTGCAGCAGCGCGTGGCAGCAGCAGCAGCAGCAGCAGCAGCAGGATGTGTGCATGCAGTCTGACAGCGGGGACAGTGATTGATTGTCGAGGGCCAGTGTGGCAAGGCAGCAGAATCCAGCATAATCATGTTCCTCCTCTTCCTCCTCCTTCTCCTCCTCCTCCTCCTCCTCCTCCTCCTCCTCCTCCTCCTCCTCCTCCTCCTCCCTCCTCCTCCTCCTCCCTCCTTCTCGTTTTCCTCTCCTCCTCCTCTTCCTCCTCCTCTTCTTCCTCCTCCTCCGCCTCCGCCGCCGCCGCCGAGTCACGTGCCCGGCTCGGCCGGCGGAGGAGCTGCAGGCGGAGATCACAATGCTCCTGTCTGCTGGGCTGGCGGGCCTCACCAGGCACTCGAAGGCGCAGGGTCGGCACGAAATTTCCTTGTGACGTCCCCAACCTTTCTATACATGTGGCGATTATACTCAGGACCCCTCAATGTCGGGCGACGAAATCTATACATATCCACTGCTCCCTGACCATGCCCATCCTGAACCCAGGAGCTGTGTATACGCCCTCCTGGCCAAACCAGGAGGGCGTGGCGTATACACAGCTGCTGTGTTCAGGATGGGCCTGGCCAGGGAGCAGTGGATATGTATAGATTGCGTCGCCCTACAATGCTGACTGGCATTCTGAAGGACCCGCAGTGCGCAGAAAGAGCACCCAGCGGTGCTTTCAGAAGAGCGCAGCAAGAAGTCCCGTGGTGATCCGCGTATGACGTACCTCCGCTGGGCCTCCCAGGAGCCCGGGCGCAGGGTCGGCACGAACCAAGTGGGCACGGAAAAACGGGCACACAGGCAGGCCGCAGTTCGCCGCCGACGAAGCAGGACCCGCTGTCGACGGGGCTCGCTGTCGACGTCGCGTCTTGCAAGGACTCAAGGACTCGCCGTCGACGTCGCCGCGGCCGTGGCTCGCTCGAGACAGAGGGCCCCCTGCACCACGGCGGCCGCTGTCTGCTCTGGACGGCGCCTGTCGTGGGGCATCTCACGCATTTTTGCCCGCACCCGTTCCGGGTGTCCAAACCAGGGGGGCCGGAGCGGAGGCTGACCCCAGCATCTGGGCGCCCGGCTCAGAAGTCCAGGCCTCCCAGAAGGGGGTCGGAGCATCGCGCCGCGTCGCCGATGCATCGGCGATGCGGCTCGATGTGGAGACATACTTTCTCCGCATGCATCGCCGACGTCGCCGATGCATCAATGCTGCAGTGGCAACGTCGGCGCGATCTGCTGACCCCATCTGTTCGGAGCCCACCTGGGAAGCCTCTCACAGCGGGGGAGAGAGGAGAGGCTTTCTAGCACTTTTGAAGTGGGGTCGAGAAGCTTCCCTCCAGAGGCCTCTGGGGGCCTCCAGACGAGACCTTTGGAGATTTCCTGGTGCTTCTTGAGCTGGGGACCTCAGGTTCTGGCGTCATGAGAAAATCGCGACGGGCATGTTCACCCCGTTCTGGGCCCCAGTGCCCTCACGGATGCTTCCAGTTCGGATGTTGCCGTAGGCACGCGACGCGAAATCTCAGAAATGAGTCGCAGCGGACACCGCCGCTTGCATGCGTGAGCGTCCCCCTCCCCTCTCATTGTATAGACACTAACACTATATCATCACACGTCTCTCTCCCTCCCTCCCCTCTTCCTGTTTGTTCACATGCGTACATACATATTTATACCTGTTTGTTCACATGCGTACATACATAGTTATATATATATATATATGTGCATATAGCTTTCTCCTTATCTACATATATATGTATATATATAGAGAGAGAGAGATCGCTCTCTCCTTCTCTCTCTCTCTCTCTCTCTCTATCTCTCTCTTTCTCTATCTCTCTCTCTCTCTCTCTCTCCCTCTCTCTCTTGCTCTCTCCCTCTCTCTCTATGTGAATATGAACATATATAAACACATACATACATACCTACATGCATGTGGATAATTGTATGTACATGTATGTGTCTGTATGTATGGTACGGATGTGAATGTGTATGTAAGTAAGTGGGTATGCATGTGTGCATGCATGTATGTTTGTGTGCGTGTGACTATGTATGTTTGTGTGTTTGTATGTACATTTGTGTGTACGTGTGTGCATGTGTGACTGTATGTGTATGTATGTGTGTCTCTATATGCATGTATCGATGTAGGTATGCATGTGTATGTATGTGTGTATGAATGCGTGTAGGTCCATATGTGTGTATGTATGTGTATGGCTGTATGTGTGTATAGATGTATATATGTATGCATGCATGTATGCTCGTATGCATGTACTTATGTATGTGTATGTGTATGTTTGTAGTTCTGTATGTTTGTATATGTATGCAGGTATGTATGTGTGCATGTGCGTGTTTGTGCTTGTGCACGCACGCCAAATGTTTGGCCGACTTAAACCAAGTTAGTTGGGGATGCCGTGGTGGGCGTTCTGGGGAAGCGCGTCGGTTTCGGCCAGGTCAGGGGCCCTGAGGGGACCAAAACCCTCGTGTTCCCAGCTCTCGCCTTTGCGAACAGCGACGTCGAGACTGTAGGCCCGCGCACAGACACACACACACACAGAGAAACACCACACGCTCACTTTTTTAGCGGTCGCGGCCTCGCGCGCAACGACGAGGCGGAGAAAGTCAAATGCAGCGGCCAGGGCCCCCCGCGCGCCAGGCTCAGAGGGGACACACACACACACACACACACACACACGGAACTGGACCTCTTCCGCCGAGGTCCTGTTCCGCCGGTCCTGTTCCGCCCGGTCTTGTTCCGCCGAGGTCTTGTTCCGCCCAGTCCTGTTCTGCCCGGTTCTGTTCCGCCCGGTCCTGTTCCGCCCGGTCTTGTTCCGCCAGTCTTGTTCTGCCGGTCTTGTTACGCCCGGTCTTGTTCCGCCGTCGCGAGCTCTCAAGCGGGGGCGTTCTCGCCGCCCGACGCGGCCGAACCGGACTTCGGCAGAACGGGCCCTCGGCGGAACTGGTCCTCGGCGGAACCGGTCCTCGGCGGAAGCGGTCCTCGGCGGAACCGGTCTTCGGCGGAGCCGGCCTTCGGCGGAACCGGTCCTCGGCGGAACCAGTCCTAGGGTGTTAGGGTATTCGGGTGTTGGGGCGTTACGGTGTTAGGGTGTTAGGGTGTTATGGTGTAGAAGAGTAGTAGCAGTGGTCCCGCCCGACCCGCCCGCCCGTTAGGGTCCGCCCGCCCGACCCGTTAATGTCCCGCTCGCCCGATCCGCCGCCCGCCCGCCTG